TTTCACTCAAGAAAGTAGTGCCTCCCATGAGCCATGAACAGGGTTAGGTGACTAATAGAGATTAAAACAGGAAGGATATATGCCTTCAGGCAATTTCTCTTTAGTGGGGAGGCATATTTAAACAAGAAAAAGTGAAATAAAATAATCATAAATTATGAAAAGTTACTATGAAGAAATTAAGAGGCTGAGATATACATAACACAAAAAATAAAGAGACATAGTGGACAAAGAGACCTCCAAATACATATACAAGTATATACAAAGTTTCTGATGTCTTTGTTATTATTGTTGCTGGTGATGATGATAGACTTTTAAATAAAAGTCTTTTTTATTTAAATATGGGATTTTTAAAATAAATATCAGTGGTTTGATATTAAGTATTGTAGCTTACTGAAAATGATGTCTTTCCAAAAGACAGCTGAGGACCACTGCAAGTATATTGTGATTCACACAGACATCACTTAAATGAAATTTAGATTTACCACTAAAGGGAGAAAAATATTTAAATCAATTCCAAGAGAAAAGGGGAGAGGAAAAGCACTGCTTATATACACAGAAGTATTCAGACCCAGTAACAGAAAGTGTTTGCAAATTTTGCTTCAATTTGGCCCCTGATGTTGACTGACTAGCACTCTGTACAGAATTTTTCTTGTTGTAAATAATGCAATCAATCCATATTTAGACATAAAGGAAGCATTAAGCTTTTATTTCATCTTGCACTTATGTTCTTTCTCTCTCTCCCAAATGTCAACCCCACGCTGTTACTTAGAAGTGTAACATAAGAAGTTGTTTTTGAATTGAGTTCACAGTGTGAACTACAGTTGAATATAAATGCCATCTGCAGAAAAATTGATCACAGGGAAGCCATTAGAGCTGCAGACGGCTAGTTTAATGTTGCTCTGTCATTTGATTAATAGAAAATAATTTAGTCTTTGGAAATTGCCTGCAAAATTCTTTCAAAAGACTGGAAAAATGCTTGCTGTTGAGTTTACCATTGACCAACTAGGTATAAACATACATGGCATGTGTTTTATATTATCCATGTGATAGTATTTTGTTTTTTCAAGGTGATAGAAATTTTGATTTTGTCATTTTAGGTAAATACAACAGTCGAGTTTAGGTAAATACAACAAACTCATGAAATCAAAATTGTTAAAGGCCTTCTGAAGCACCTTTTAGAAATAACAAACTTTTTTCCCAACTCAATACTAGACAAAAGGCATAGACATGGAAGTCATACTCATGGACAAAATAAGAAAAGCTCTGGACTATGAGGATTTTCCAGATAATTAGCTAAGACTTCACCATTTTTTCTGCCTTTCAAAAAGTACATAAAAAACTGAAGGAAGAACAAAATTATGAAGGGAAAATCTTGAAAATACCCCTAATTATATTTAAGAAGTGAATCATTTGCAAACTTTGGAATTGTGTTATTAGGAACAATCCACATTGAATACCATTGAAAAACTATGTCATAATACCACAGTGAAGAATGGATACTTACAGGAAAGAGAGTTAACAATTAGTGAGCAATTTATTATGTACCACTAAGCAAGAGAGGAACATTTCTCATTTTATTTCATGGAAGCTAAAACTCTTATAAACTAGAATATGTTAGTCTCATTCCAATACTGGAAAAACCAGGCCTCTCGGAAGAGATTGTATACAGATTCAGTTTTCTCTGACTTCAAAGTCCAATTCTTTATACCTTCCAGATAGGATGAAAGGTAAAGCATTCCCAATAACCCACACAATGAGCCATTCATTCCATGAATTCATTCCTGATATAATGTTTCTCATTTTATGTCCATGAAATGCCTTACTTCTGTTATGGTAGATGAGGAAACAAACAAATGCAAATATCCCAATCTCAGAGACACAATCGGTCCCATATACTTAATAGAAGTAATTTCTTCTTTGTCTCAATCTGAAGCATCATCAATGTATTCATAGTATAAAAGGAGTACTTTTTATCTAAACATGCAAACAAATAGAAAAGGCACAGCAATAGATAATACCTCAGAATCTGTTTCTGCCAGTGATATCAAAGACATGCATTTTCATTTTTGCTGTATTGATTATAAGAAGTTGTTACATTAATACTTTGTTTTAAAGACCAGAGATAAAAGAAATGTGCCAAAGAATATACTAGATATTAAAATTGCAGTATCTGGTGAGAATTTTTATATTACCTCTTTCATAACTGAGAAAGATTAGAAAGGGCACTTTGAATTAAGTTGAGGGAAAACAGTTAAAAACTGTAATCATTGTCATCAGTTCAGTTCAGTTCAGTCGCTCAGTTGTGTCCGACTCTTTGCGACCCCAAGGACTGCAGCACGCCAGGCTTCCCTGTCCATTGCCTTGGCGATGCCATCCAACCATCTCACCCTCTGTTGTCCCCTTCTCCTCCTGCTCTCAATCTTTTCCAGCATCAGGGTCTTTGCAAATGAGTCAGCTCTTCATATCAGGTGGCCAAAATATTGGTTTCAGCTTCAACATCAGTCCTTCCAATGAATATTCAGGACTGAGCTCCTTTAGGATGGACTGGTTGGATCTCCTTGCAGTACAAGAGACTCTCAAGAGTCTTCTCCAACACCACATTTCAAAAGTATTAATTCTTCGGTGCTCAGCTTTCTTTATAGTCCAACTATCATATCCATACATGACTCCTGGAAACACCATATCCTTGACTAGATGGACCTTTGTTGGCAAAGTCATGTCTCTGCTTTTTAATATGCTGTCTAGGTTGGTCATAATTTTTCTTCCAAGGAGTAAGCGTATTTTTATTTCATGGCTGCAGTCACCATCTACAATGATTTTGGAGCCCAGAAAAATAAAGTCTGCCACTGTTTTCACTGTTTCTCCAACTATTTGCCATGAAGTGATGGGACCGGATGCCATGATCTTTGTTTTCTGAATGTTGAGCTTTAAGCCAACTTTTTCACTCCCTTCTTTTGCCTTCTCAAGTCTCTTTAGTTCCTCTTCACTGAATTCTTACTACATGCAAAACTCTCAGGCTTTTAAATATTATTTGGTTTATATTGTCAAGAAATGTACTAGGACATGGTTTATTCACCTAGCATGTTCATTTTATAAATTCATATGGATTTCTGTAGGTTTGACCATGTCAATTAGCCTCAATTGTAGGAGAGCAAAATGAACAGATTCGCCACATTGTGTCACCTATGGGTCTGCTCACAGTCCAGTGTGTAATCTACATGACATGAGAAAATCACATTGGACCCTCAGTGATTTCTCTTTAGCTATATATTACACAGCCAGTTATTCAACATCTATGATATATATGCCTCTGCCTACATGCCAAGCACTATGCTGGAGGCTGTAATGCATTCTCAGTAAATTTAAAGAAACACAAGGCATGAATAACTATAATTCAGTGGGATAAGTTCATAATAAAATATATGAACTGAGCCCCATGGGAGCATGGGTGAAACATTTATCTCTCTACTATGTGCCAGTTGAGGTATAAGTGATTAGGTGTATGACATCCCATGGGCTTGGAGAAGGCAAGTAGATATATCATAAGGCAATGTTGGGTGACACCCTTTAATTTCCTCCAGCAGCACATAAGACACTAAATAGCCATTGAGTTAAAACTCCAAAAGAAATCATTTCTATCAATGTTATGATGAGTTAAATATTATGCTCACTCAGCCTCACATATTCAAATAAGATGCCAAAAACATCTTTCTGGGTTTTATCTTTGCCTCTGCTACCCAGATGAATTATTTTTAATCTCTTCAGTTTCTTAAATCTCAAAAATAATCATGTGGACTCAAATCTTTGAGAAGCAGTATGTTGTCATGCAGGAGGAAAAAAAAAAAAAACTAGATTAAAAGTCAAGAAACCAGGATGCTGACTGGTCTCAAGCACTCATTATCTATAAGGTTTTGAAGAAGCAGATTTTCAACCTGGACTCTAGTTTTCTTGTATGTAAAATCTTCCAGTTAGATGAGATCCATTACTTTAGAAGGCTAATTCTAAATATGTCTTCTTGAACTTCACACCTTCCTTCTCCCAAAAAACATTAATCTCAGGGAACTAAAACCACAGTTCGGATTCAGGGTAGACACCTTTTGGGATGATCACCCAGTTTGTAATCGCTTTCCCTCTTCATGGTTCATACTAGTTCTATCTGTGTTGAGAGTCATATGTCTTTCTCACTGTCTAGCCACAATGGATTAGGGTAAAATAGAATATGGCCAAATTAAGCCAATCATTAGCTTTTACCTGTAGATTCTAGCTTGAACTATCTCTCAACAAAGGAGATTTCAAATCTCAGATGAGGTAGGCAGTCTTGATTTCTGCTGCATATACTGAACAAAGAGGTGGTCCATGGCAAGATGAGCATGCAGCAAACAGAACTGTGAGAGGTAGAGAGAGGAACTTCTTGGCTTTCAGACATTTTTTGTTCCTCTGAGGTTCTGTTGCATTCTGCCATGAATTCCAAGAGAGTCCCCTATATCCTTCACAATCTATTGCTAATACTTCGTTTAAAACAACTTGAGTTGGTTGTGTTATTTATAGTCAATGAGTCCTAATTAATACAAGATTAAAAGTAAAGGACCACTAGGAATGTACACCTCTGTATTGATATATGTAAAAAGTTTGCAAGCTGAGTTTGTCTGAGAGTCTCATTGATTGATGGGCAAATTAAACATTAGATAAAGGAGCCCTCCATCTATTTACATATAATAAAGTAAACAAATTCAACAGAAGTGATTACTAAATTAATACTGAAAATGCAGCCTACCATTATTCATTCATGTTTGTCACAAAAACATTTCCAAATGACCTGAATTTGAATGAATTTACTTCCTCTGATTAGAATTAATATAATATCTGAAATGGCACTAGAAACATTTTACCTCCTTTTATGCTAATTATCCAGGACTTATTTTTCCTTTTCGTGTTGTTGGGTCATACAGTAATCATGAGCTAATAAATATTCATTTGAATCTTTGATTATCTTTTTAAAGCTCCAAGCCAACCACCAGCTAACATTGCCTGGAAGTTGACAAACTCTAAGTTATGCCTAAACTGGGAGCATGTAAAAACTATGGAGAATGAGTCTGAAGTGTTAGGCTACAAGGTGAGTATTCTGTTTTTTCTTTAAACAGATCACTTAGCTTCCTAAGTAATGAAAAATGTTAGAACCAAACAAGAAACAAATTTTATGCATGTGGAAATATAGGAATATTTGTTCTAATGCTTTGAAAATATTTAGCATTACCGCTTTTAAGTTCTTCATGGTAAATTTTATACTGTGAGGTCAGTAATGTGCATGAAGCATTAACAAATAAATCTTTACAGTATGCAACAATTTCTTCTTCAAGTGACTAACCTGTATTAAAAAAATATGATTGTGTATTTAAATATTAAAAATGTGAGATGAGAATGAGATCAAAAAGTATATTCAAATAGAGTTTCTAGAACTTAGGCTACAGAAGGATATCATCTATCAGCAATACAAAAGAAATCCAACAAAGAAATCCAATCCAGTCATCAAATATCAAGACAAACCATTTCCATCAGTGGTAAAGAACATCATCTGCTGACAAATGCATATAGTATCCAGACACTTGAAATGGGTCCAAACTAATCAGTAACTTTCCACAGCAAGCTCCAGAGATAATGGCCTCAAGCTATTTAATTAATAGAGATAAATCTATACTGATTTTAGAAGCACTGGCCAAAAGGAAATATTTTTTCTTAACAACCAAATTTAAAGAAAAAGTGTAGACCAGATATTTCCATCCAAGGACCTCAGCATGTATAAGGCTCACAGTGCTTGTGTTCTGTAAGAGTTTCTGCACCTTCAAGAAGCTACATGTCCATTTAACATGATTCACCATTTTATTCAGATTCTGTACCGGCAAAACAGACAGAGTAAAACTCATATTTTGGAAACAAACAACACATCTGCTGAGCTTCTGGTTCCCTTTGAAGAGGACTACTTGATTGAAATAAGAACAGTTAGTGATGGTGGGGATGGAAGCAGCAGTGAGGAAATTAGGATTCCAAAAATGTCAAGTAAGTTGAATCACCATTGCTGTTGTGGATTTTGAATAAAGACAGCTTCCAGCATGAAATCTGGGCTCTATGAATCTTTCCAATTTTTGTTTAAATATTGGCTGGAAAAAAAGGTCTATTTTTTTCCATATTTCAATTGTGAGCAAGAGGTGATGAGTCAATTTTCTTTAATCCCTCAAATTTACAACATGCTTATGACAGGCAGTTTTATGTTTCCTCATTTAAAACTCAAAAAAAAAAAAAAAACCTTCACAACTGTCATGGTATGTATATGCTTTATCCTGTTGGCACAAAATGTGAAAGTTTTTCCAAGGGTACCTGCAAGCTTCTCAGAGCAGGGAGAACAAGTGTGAAGTACACATAGGTACATCTCCATTGCCATTTTCATGGCAGACATCACTAATCGATTATGGCATTCATACTGAGCTGAGTTAACGCTTTCAAATCCTCTCAACATGAGGTCCTAAGCAGGCAACACCAATCAGTCAGATTTCGTATATAATAATAATTTATTAATTCTGCTTTAGAAGAATCACTCACTTATGTATCTGAAGCTGTGACTGAGTATAACTCATCAGCCACTACATGGTGGCCAATCCTATTCTGCCCTTTAGTCAGACTTGGCCAATTTTAGGCATTTTTCTTTTTTATTTTTATATTTAAAACAGATATCCTAAATCAGAGGGTTAAAAACACTTCCTAAAATTAAACACAATGTAAGTGAAACAAGTATAATAAATGTGGTATTAAAAGAGAAATAACAGTATGTGTTTGGTTCATGAAAAATTAATATAACAAATGATTTTACTTTTTCTCAATATATTTTGTTTCATTTTTATGTTTTGCAGGTTTGAGTTCCAGAGGAATTTCAGTCTTAGAACCTAGCGTCCATTTCCTGTCAGTTGTCTTCACAATTTTTTGTTGTTTTGCTATTCAGCCACTTATATGAAGAATAAAACCAGAAATCTTTCAGTTTTTTAAAAAGCAAATTATTCTGTAAAAATGTTCTCCAGCCCCCATGACAAGATAACATTCAAAAGCAGACTTGTTTGGAAAGAAAAAATGTATATTATTAAAATCTTGTAAATATCTATGGTACGTTAAATAAAGAAATTTTAAACACTTTGGAATTTTAGTGTTAACACATGATTACACATATTCAGAAGGTGCCAAATTAATGCATGGAGTTGTCACTGCTGTGGCTTTTAAGTGACTTCTATGGAGAGTATATATAAATCTCTTGAAGGTGATGGTCAATATGAAAGAAATTGCATTTTCCATAGCTAAGATGTCCATATTTTTTATGCTCCAAGCAATTTAGTTCAGTAACTTAAAATCTGACCCTAGTTTTGGAAATATAATATAATTGTTCGTTTATACTAGAGATTCTTTAAAAATGTCAACTATTGTAAAGCATGATGTCCTTTTATCTCTGAATCAACTTGGGACAGAAATATTTGCACCCAGTAGCATGACTATATACTTGATGTTATTCTCAACTCTCTTTTGTATCAGGTTCAGTAATAAAAATGGCAGAAAAAGTGCTTTCTGGCAAGAAAAATAAAAGTAGGGAAAAAGTATCCAGCAAAAATAATCTAATGGCTCCAGTAAGCAATTGCTCATAGCAAAGTTTAATTTTAAAATCAATTCTGAATTATCCCAAGGAAGAGGGTGCATGAACAGTTCTCAGGTAATTATTACAAATTCTTAGCAATGTGTGTGGCCTTATTTTTATATGATAAATAAATCCAGAAACAGAATTACTTAAAGTTGTTGACATTTTGGTCAATTTTTTTTTTTTTGCCAATGTTCTCTGAAACTATAAATATAATTTTACACTGTCCAAGCTTTAGAAAGATTCCTGTGGGTTGACTTTCTCTTGGATGCACCTGGTTAAAGTCAGTGGTCTCAATTCCTGGGATCGTATAGTCTGGAGACAGCAGTATAGAAGGAGGAAAGGTTAATGAGAACACCTCTGCCTTTCTAATCAGTCATCTACTTCCTTCACAAACAGCCTTGAGGGGTTTGTCCTGCTGTCAGCCTGCTCTAGCTATCAGTCAATTAGGTTTAGTGTCCTGGGAGCTAAGGAATGGACACACTATTTTTTGCCTTCTTAACATGGTACAACATCTCAATTACATTGAAAATATATAAATTCTCCTCACAATTTTCAAAGCACACAATCCCCAAAGTTGGATTTTGTCATTTTCATTTCCAAAATATTTTAGAACTGTTTAAAATACCCGGTCAACAGCAGATGGGCAGTGCCTTTCCACAGTTCAGAACTTGCTCCTTGCTGGAGTATGTCAAGCATGCAGTAAAATCAATGAACCTTATTATCCCTGCACCTTAAGATCTGACTGTGCTTTGATGGAACAGAATAAACAAGCAACTGAAAATATCATTTGGCACAGTCACAGCTGCCTGAACAACACACATTTGTATTGATCACATACCAGTGATGGCACATGGTCTTAATGGTTTTCTCACCTTGGTTAGAGACAAGATTCGTGTCCTGGTTCCCATAGTAGAGACTGAGATATAGTCATAATGAGCATGAAATATATTATGAGATTTTCATTTTTGCTGATTAAGAGAAGTAGATGCATGGTCATTTGAGTATAAACCCAAAAGCTAAGTCAGTTCTTATCAACAACACATAGATTTGCAGGTGGATTTTAATTCATAATCATGGGAGTATTAAATGCTTGTATTATTCAATATGTAATATATCATTTATATTGTCATCCATCCATACTACATTTTTCAGAATATAATTTGGCATTAATATTAAACAGTGCAAGTTTTGATTAGATTGATTTGAATCTCTACTCTTAGTGTGGTGTTGGATATATCTTTTATCATTCCCATATTACTATTATGAGGGTTAAAGGACATAACATACACAAGTGTTGAGTATGTTGCATGAAACACTGTAAGTTGTTAACAAACAGAGCTGTTGTCATCTGCTACTATGAACTAAACCCCCAGCAAAATAAGTTACTAATTTAAGTGTTCAATAGACTATGAAAACAGATTCAATCTGTATGTATGTCAAAATCTAAAGCAGCTGTGGTTCCATCAGTCCATTCAAGAAAAATATTCTTTGTGATATATATGCTCCTTTGACATTTAGGAAGGATTTCCAGTGGCTCCCTTTACTGACTGTGTGTACTGTTATACACTGTTGTGAACATGGTAAGTCATTTCTATACTTCTACTTTCCCATTTTTTGCTATACACTATTAAGAACATGGTAAGTTATTTCCAAACGTTCCTACTTTTTTCTATTTCTTTTCTGCTTTTAATGAATTGGATGAGACTTTTCCAAATTGAAAAAGGTTACCTGGTTCACTCAACCTACAGACTCAAATGTGGAAACACCCTCACAAATACACAAAGATTATTTGGGCACCTTCTGGCCCAGTCACACTGACACATAAAATTAACCATCATAGTACCCTTTTAATTATTTTAAATAATTCAGTTCTAATCCCCAAAACTTTTGAAATGAATTTACGGAGACACCATCCTCAGTTTATTCATCTGTAAAATGAGATATTGAGATTGCATGATCACCAAATTCCTTTAAAATCCTATAATTCTATATCAAGCTGCAGAGTGGTATCATTTTTAGTACAAAATAAGTTTTAACAACCATAACACACACAACATGTTGCAAAGCTTTTCACTCTTCCCCTCCCCCATATTTTCATTAGCCTAAACAATTGTGTTGAGCTTTCTTAATTGGAAATTTCAAAAAAATGGGTAAATTGAATATTTTTCCAAATAGCAAAGAACCCTTAGAAGTTCTGGTCCATCTTGACCTAGGCAAACTTACAAGCATTTGAATAGCAAAGGAAACCATAAACAAAATGAAAAGACAACCTAGAGAATAAGAAAAACAAAATTTGCAAACTACATGACTGACAAAGACTTAATTTCCAGAATATACAAACAACTCATACAACTTATGAGCAGCAAATAACCCAATGGAAAAATGGGCAGAAAACGTATACATTTCTCCAAAGAAGAAATACAGATGGCCAATAGGAACATGAAAAGATGCTCAACATCACTTTTTATTAGGGAAATGCAAATCAAAACTACAATAAGTACCACCTCACATTGAATGGCCATCACTAAAAAGTCTACAAAAACAAGTGCTGGAGAAGATGTGGGGAAAAGGGAATCTTACACTGCTGGTGGGAATGTATACTGATACAGCCACTATGGAGAACAGTATGGAGGTTCCTCAGAAGACTAAAAATAGAATTACTATATTATCCAGCAATCTTACTCCTGGGCATATAACCTAACAAAACCTTAATACAAAAAGATACATATACCCCTATGTTCATAGCAGCACTATTTACAATGTCAATATATGCAAACAACCCAAATGTCCATTGACAGGTGAATGGATAAATAAGCTGTGGTACAAGGGAATATTACAACCATAAAAAATAATGAAATAATGCAATTTGCAGCAACCTGGATGCAACTAGAGGTTATCATACTAAGTGAAGTTAAGACAGAAAGAGAAAGAAAAAATACCATTTGATATCATCACCGACTCAACGGATTTTAAACAAATTTCAGAAGACATGGAGGATAGGAGAGCCTGGTGTGCGGGAGTCCATGGAGTCACAAGAGTCGGACACAACTTAGTGACTGAACAACAACTTATGTTGAATCTAAAATATGACACAAGTGAAATTTGTCTATGAAACAGAAAAAGAATCATGGACGTAGAGAACACAGTGGTGGTTGCCAAGGGAGAGGAGGTTGGTGGAGAGATGGAATGAAAGTTTGGGGTTTCGAGAAGTAAGGCTTTATGTATAGAATGGATAAACAACAATGTCCTACTGAAAAGCACAAAACACTACGGTCAATACCCTATGATAAATCATGATAGAAGCAGTATTTCAAGAAAGAATGTATATATCAGTATATGTATAACTGAATCACTTTATAGCATAAGTTAACACTACATTGTAAATCAAATATACTTCAATTTTTTAACTAAAAGACAATAAACTTTAAAAAAAATTTTTTAAAAAGAGAGAAGTTCTGGCTCAACTTCGTACTCACCTGAGGATTTCTGGAGTATTTCATTGGTTCCCAAGTGCAAGACTATGATGTAGTTTTCACTATTCAGTGAAAAAAGAAAAATTCAGACAGTGTAGTGGGATTTTAATGGCAAATAGATAGACAAACAATGGAAACAGTGAGAGACTTTATTTTTTGAGACTCCAAAATCACTGCAGATGGTGACTGCAGCCATGAAATTAAAAGATGCTTCTTCCTTGGAAGAAAAGCTATGACCAACCTAGCAGCATCTTAAAAAGCAGAGACATTACTTTGCCAACAAAGGTCCATCTAGTCAAAGCTATGGTTTTTCCAGTAATCATGTATGGATGTGAGAGCTGGACTATAAAGAAAGTTGAGCGCGGAAGAATTGATGCTCTTGAACTGTGATGTCGCAGAAGACTCTTGAGAGTCCCTTGGACTGCAAGGAGATCCAACCAGTCCATCCTACGGGAAATCAGTCCTGAATATTCATTGTAGGACTAATGCTGAAGCTGAAACTGCAATACTTCGCCACCTGATGTGAAGAACTGACTCACTGGAAATGACCCTGATGCTGGGAAAGATCGAAGGCAGGAAGAGAAGGGGATGACAGAGGATAAGATGGTTGGATGGCATCACCAACTGAAAGGACATGAGTTTGAGTAAGCTCTGTGAGTTGGTGATGGACAGGGAGGCTTGGTGTGCTGTGGTCCATGGGCTTGCAAACAGTCAGACAAGACTGAGCGACTGAACTGAACTGAACTGAATCTATGAAGTATTTGGGAGATTATTATGTTTTTGGCATTTTGTGATAAATATTCACTCTTATGAAATGAACTTGAGTATGAATACTAGTTTGCTTTATGTGTTTCATTT